TTTTAGCTGCAAAAATAGATTTGTGCAGTAAGGTTGTAATGCTAGTTGAATTTGTTATTTTCCATAACTGCAAATATAGGACTCCAAATGAAGTGAAATTTTTGTGGCATTATACTCATGTGATAATTGATGTATGGTAAAAATTTCATAAGTATTGGATGAAGTATGAGTGAGCTATTGGTTTATCTCGCTTTCACATGATTTCTTGCAATAGCGAATTATCTTTTTCATAGAGGAAGATATACTTATGCAAATGGTATGAAATTTGTACAGTAGACTATTGAGAGGATATGTGAGCTACTGTAATTTTTGTAGAATTTATTGTACGTTTTTGGTATATGTTCATAAATACACCTTGATGTCTAAATAAATTAAGAAATGCTTTAATAAAATTTATTTAGAGGTGAGCACCATGCTTTATGGTGTTCTTTAGTCATGTGTGAAATGTTGGTAAGGTTGATTTTGCCCAATTATGTGTTTGCAACATAAGTTAATAATTAGTTTTTTGCCGATGTGGTTTATGGACAGATCTGGGAACTTAGCAAAGTTCTTCATGATAATGTGTTTTGTTGTAAAACTTGTTTATACAAAAGTTGTAGATAATTCATGTATCTAGCTTCTGTTAAAATTTGGTGTCATTTGGCCAAGTAGTTTAAGAGTTACAGCTGTTTAAAGTTGGGTTACAGAATTGATTGCTCTCTGTCTTGTTTAGACCAGTTTCTGTAAATGAGTATATTTGACTTAGTTAACTTGAGAATCATGCTAAGATGATTAAAGATGAATTGTAGAAAATTTCATAAGCTTTCTAGAATGTCTTGTTGCATGTCTATTGGATTTGTATAACTCTAGTTATGATCCAAACATGAAGCTGTTGTTTCCAGTCCAAAAATAGACATATGCTAGTTGTGGTTGTTTACTCCATGTGTTGCTAAGTGTGGCTTATGCCCTTGTTGATGGTCAAGTTATGATACTTATGACCTTGTTAAACTTGTGTCATGATTGATGTGCTTGCTCTCTATAGTTAGTTGTGTGATGTTAGTTAAAAAGCTATTGGTGTCTATGTCTTGCATAATCTTGTGTTACCATTCATCACATTCATACACATGCATCTTATTTAGGTACGCTAGATGAACCACGTGAAGGAGGTGATGTGGAGCCGAACTCGAAGTTTGGGTTTGGTGGATCTATCCCAAAGATGGAAGGACTAAGCAAGTGCTAGGACCGGAGATGTCACCAAGACGGTGCAAGCTAACTGAACTGACTTGTGTGGGATCCCAGGCAAGTCCCGGAGCATTATAAGTCTCCTAATTTATAAAAGCAATTCTTTCTATATATATGAGTTTATATATTGTTGCATTAAGTTGTAGGAGTTGATTGAAACCGTTGATGCATTTATTACTATCCTTACCTACCTTATTACCTTTTACCCTGTTAGGTCAGGATCGAATAACTGCTTAGCCTTGCTTAGACCGGTAGCGATCGGTGATATCCGGTCACCTACATTATAGGTGGTTACTGGAAGAATTTAGCTATGGAAAGAATGATATCCTGGAATTAACCATGTGTGATGGATAATTGGAGACCGGACGGAAAAGTTGGAGGCAACCAGACAGGGTTCTGGGGTGCTGTTAGTTTCTGTCTGTGTCGATTAAGGACCGATCGTTGCTTGTCTCTCTTGTCATGTTGAACGCATGCCTCACATTTAGCTGGCCGAATAAAGTACCTTTCGACCGTGAAGCTAGTGACACTATTTGAGCCGGGATAAACCCGGATTAGCAGACGGGTGCTGAAGGGAGTATGACGGGGACGCGAAGAGTGAGCCCAAGGTGCGTCCTGGCAGTCGGGCAGTCCCTGGGTAGTGCGGCCCCGGCTGTTATCCCGCGGCTACTTAGAAAGTGTCATTGGTGATCTGTAGCTCACTTGATCGGTGAGTGTGGTTTGTGTGAGGAATAAATCACCAGCTGGTTAGGAATCGATTCGAATCGCCATCGCTCCTGGATAGTGAGCACTTGACTCGAGCTACGGCATCGTAGTAATTATTATGGAACAATGATGGTTATCTGGATGGTATGGGATATGCTAAATCTAAGTTGGTAACTGGATGTTATTGGTTAATCAAGTGATTGCTATAGTATAGGTGCTTACCTAGATGGATAGGTCATAATAAAGATGATGCAAAGTACTTAAAATTGTTTCTTCATGATAGCTTATGCTTTTCGCAAACGAGTCAGCTAGCCCACTAAAGAAAGCCTTGCATAATCCTTGGTGTCATTTGTTTTGGTTTCCGACGGGTAAGTCTAGTTGAGTACATTCGAGTACTTAGGGTTTATCCCACCATGTTGCAGGTGAAGTTCTTGGTCTGCGGAAGATGGTGGCTAACCGCCGGTGGGCTCGGTGACTCTATATTTACTTCTCACCTATATGCTTTTATCAGAGGATGTCACTTATACTAGCAATGTATTTGGAACTTATATTAATGTAATCATTTGAAAGCTATGTTGTTTTCTCTAATCGGTTTTAAAACTCAAACTTGTACTATTAATCACGCGATCTTGGTTGTGATGTTGATTTACCGAGGTCCTTCGTGACACTCGGCGGACTACCGGGTTTGTATAAGTGAAAGTATGCGCGTGTCAACGTGTTAGCGGGGACAGCCATACTTGATATTGTATAAATTGGGCGGTTCTGTCACATCCTCGCATTACACAAGCGAGGGTAAGGCTTGCCACTGACACCCTTCCCCAGACCCCGCACAGAGCAGGAGCTCTCTGCACTGGGTACGCCCTTTTTTGTAGTGCAGAGTCGACGAAGGTCCTGCAGCCATCGGCTGCTGATGACGGAAGGCACACGGAGGAGCCGACAGCTCCGTACGCCGAGCAAGGACAAGCAAGGGCGGATCCGGTTGCCCCCAATGTGGAGCAATCGGCGGTTGCGGAACCGACCGCCCCTACTATGGAGGAGCCCTCAACATCTGGACCGACCTCGCCTGGCGGCGGATTGCATGACGAGGGCAATCCTGGTGTAGAGGAGACATGGGATGCTGCGGCGACGTCGAGTGGCCTTGCTGGAGCAGGTACGGAGCTTGCGGGGGACGCGCCGAGCAGTGCGGCGTAAGGTCCTCCCGTGGTTGCTGAACAAGCATCATCTGCAGTGGCGTCAACGGCGGGAGTGGCGCTCGGATGCTCTGTCCGAGCACGGCAACAGCCAAGGTGGGCACCTTTGCCGGCGGTCGCCGTTGAGATCGAAGAGATAGTGCGGGAGCCCACCCCGCCTCCCCAACTCCTCCGCACGGTCGTTCAGCACGGCGAAGAGTTTGAGATGCTGGAGGAGGGGGAGGCGAGCGTGGAGATAAAGAAGCTGAGGGCTGATCTGACATCGATGATGGGCCGTATTGAGGTAAGCCTGAAGAGATCTTCTTTGTCCTTTAAAGGGCGCGGTCTGTTAATCCGAAACCTCAATCTATGTGTGCTTGGAAAAATAGAGGCATCCACGCGCAAAGATACGTTGGAGATGCATCTAATCCTTGGATTGCTCTGCTTTTTTACCTTAACCTCTTTGTGATTGTTATTAAGCTGCATGAGAAAGCAAGTGATGCTGCAAACAAAGAATCTGACAAGTGATGACTATGCTTTGCAAAAAAGCAAATAAAGCAAACAGAGGAAGCAAGGAACGAAAACACACCTTGTAATGCATACTTTGCACCTGCACTCATTCTAGTGGCGCTTCTTCTACTATACACGCCAACCCATTTGTAAGCATGACATAACTAATTCCAGATAGGCAGCACATGCATATGCTCTGTCCCAGAGCGAGCCTGTTTTCTCGTCGTGATCCAGGTAATTTACTAGTAAATTCTGTCTTCTTCTCCCATGCAAGTTCATGTGGTTAATTACAGTCATTACGTGTTTTTACTAAGCTTTGAACGCGAGGGAGATCAGGATTATAAAGGAATGCATGTTGTTGTCCAGCTTGAACTAGTACTCTGCATATCCAGGATTAATGTTAGTTTACTATTTCTGTCTGCTTCTCCAATGCAAGTTCATCTATCTATCTATCTATCTATCTATCTATCTATCTATCTATCCAGGACTGCTTACTTTGTATGAGTACTACTAGTATCACGCAGAACTTTGTTGATTAAATTGCAACTTTGATCTATCAACACGGGCCAAAGCTGAATATATACTGTGTGCAGGAGATATCGATTTGCTGGAGTGAAGTCTGGAGGAGGAAATCTGGTGCTTCGATGCTGCTATGCATACATTTCTGACGTCAAAATCTAGAGCTGCAGATTCAGATGGAGCTCCTGGCCTAGCTTGTAGAGCTAGCTAGCCCAAGAGGCAGGCGACAGACCAATTCATCATGCCAACAGAGGTAAATCAATAAGTGACTACTTCTCCACGTACATACTGGTGTCTTAATTTGCACCGATTAAATTCCTCTGTTTTTTGGGCAATTAGTTTTTGTATAGGTCATGTTCAGTTTTGACCAAAAATAAAATTTATTGATTTTAATTTTTCATGTGACATATATCAACAGGTATATTTATATCTTGTTTCTGAAATGTATTTAAGTGCAGCATGCGACTTTTTCCTGTACTACTGCAAAATTTAACACACATAGTGTACTATACATCTCAAATTATAAGACATATCTTTTCTACAATCTTGATTCAAGGTACGGGGTTGTATATAAATATAATATAATACATCCGGCCCCTTAGTAACATACAGAACAGTATACGCCAGCCTTTCTGAAATTAACCAGTAGTAATTATTGCAGAGGATCAGATTCATAGCGGATACCATAGATGACGCAGCAGAGCAGATCATTCATCTTTTGGAGGCTGCGGACAATCGAAGAGATGTAATATACTGCCAGGGCTGGTTTGGGTGGGGAGCATCTGCCGTACTCAAAGCTGTCGTAAAAAAAAGTAAGATCATCATCTGGGTTGGCTGACACGGGGACAGCAAGGGACTTGGGAAAGATCATCCACGTCGATGTCTCAGTGGCAGAGCAAGAGAGCCCTACTGAAGGTGATTGCAGAGGAGCTTGAGCTACCCCCGCAGGTGATGGCACTCTTTGACCAGCATGATGAGGAGGATGATTTTGATGGGGTGGAGCAGAGCGATAGAGCTGTGATTCCTTATGTCAGAGCAGCGATCATGAATGAACTTATGGCTCGCAGATTCCTTGTGGTTTTGCACAATGGGAGTGGCAGCTATATCGATCTGTGGGAGGCCGGTGTCCCTGTAATGGGGCAATTGGGCAGGAGGGTGTTGTGGACATCCCGAGACAGGTTCTGGCATCATGCCAAAGATGGGCATGGAGACCTTTTTGTGTTGAATAATGTGGAGTCAGCTAAATGGAGCCATGCAGCTATATGTGTTATTCCATCACCATTTCTTGAGGGAGATGAAGTTGCTATGTATCAAGTCATTAGGCATGCTCTATATGCAGAGGCCGAGGAGGTTGCTAAGTACACAGGTGTCCCTGAACCTGACATGAGCCCAAAAGTTGTCATTGAATGCATCTTGTATAGGGCACTGAAACACAATGTGAGCATCAACTGGGAGTCCCATGGCTCTAACTATTGGGTATATGATGGGACTATACAGGAAGGCACTGATGGTGGTAGGTCAGCGTGGGAGATCAGCGATGCTTTGCAGAGGAACATGAGCCTGGACTTTTGTAGTGAGTGTACTGAAGGAATCTGTGAAGCGCTGAGTGGTGAACAGAAGAGGTGTATCAAACGCTGGGTTTCAGTTACCAATCAGAATTCAACGGAAGTCCAATTGACATCTCAGGCAACATCCTTCTTCTGTACAACAAGTGGACCATCAAATGATCACAACAGAACCCGGCGGGTTCTAGAAGCAGGCATGTTTGAGCATTCAGATAGAACGACCAATCTGCGTGTGATTCATCTCTCCCACTGCACCTTCAGTTTTTTATCTCCTCCCTTCGCGAGTTGCAGCAACCTAAGATTCCTCCTGCTTGACCACTGCAAAAACAATGACGCACAAGACCTTGGTGAAGAAAAGGAATGGCATCATCATAGAGACTATAGTCAACAAAACGGCGGAGCATGGTTCCAGAATCTATGGGTGCTAGAACTGAGTTATACGGACTGGTACTGGCTGCTATCGAAAGACGTGTTGGATCTGATGGTTGACCTCAGGGAGTTGAATGTGAAAGGAGCTGGTAACCAGAGCATGATGCATCTACATCGTTGCAGTGGTTCCGGAAGCAACAGACGTAGGCTAATCAAGCTTCGAGTGGTGGCCGATATTCCAAATGAGGCTGCTCCGGACAATGATGATGATGATGATGGTACTAGTGGTAAAAGAAATCAGCAAGTATCTCCACCAGTGGTAGCATCATCGTTTTTCCCAGACCTGTCAAGTTGGCACATCCTTAAGACAGTCATCCTTGATGGTTGTAGTGACCCGGAGCTAATTGACTGCAACGCCCTACCCCTGTCACTAGAGTCATTTACTTTGATCAGCAGTGTCACTACCAGTAATAAGATAAAGAGGATCTCCTTCCAGGGGCACACTAGATTGAAGAGCCTATTATTGAGAGGGTTGTTTGGTAGGCTTGTGGAGCTGGACATGTCTGGTACAGCAATTTGAACCCTTGACCTTAGTGCAACGCAAGCCTGGGGGGGCCTCAGGCGACTCTTCTTGTTAGGATGTGAGAAGCTGTGCGCGATATTATGGCCACAGGAGATATGGTTGGAGATTTTGCGCATCGACACCACCACTACCACCTATGCAGCATTGGACAGGGAAGAAGGAAAATCCAACAAACAAGAGGCTACTGCTAGTGACGGTTCAAGTATTAGGTATAGGGTCATCATCAGCAATGGTGTGTGGCAAGGACGACCGAACATTCATCGACTCGGATCCCTATATTTCCATTAGGGATCCAATGCTTTTTCGTTCACTTGAAAGCTTGAGACATGGAAAATGGTTGCACGTGGAGATTTCATCTACTGGACCAGCAGGTCACAAAGGTACTGATCAAGGAATTAATACTAGTGGTGGTTGTGGCACTGCTGCTGTAAATGTGCACAAGCCAGGTGGAAGCTTGTACGCTGATGACATCATCATCATTTCCACATCTAATGGCAGCAACTCGCAAGCTGATGATGATGCCAATAGAGATGTCTTTAAGGCCGCCTTAGTGATGAGGAGGAGCAAGTGGTTATGGGGTTGCCCGCCTATTCCTGAGGATTCTGATTGGGCTCACTGCTACATTAGCATACAAGATGAGCCACAGACCGAACAGTTAATAAATAGAGCCACAACTCTACCAGCACTTGTGAGCAGGGATGCTAAGACCTTGCACTTGCATGATAGCCTGTTCATCAAATGTCTCCCAGGGCCTGAACCTACTGCTGCTGAAGCAAATTTGAATTGGGATGTACTAAAATGGTGCCGATTCGAGAGATGCCCCAACTTGGAAGGCGTTGTTTTCACTACAAGCCAGACAGGACGCAATATTTTCTGGTATCTGGAGACATTCTGGGCATCCCAACTCCCAAAGGCACGCTACATCTGGGACTGGAGCACAACATCCCGGTTTCGTCCTGGACAAAGTTCCTTTGAGCATCTTTCATTCTTACACCTAGATTACTGTCCCAGGCTGGTACATGTACTCCCTCTGTACACAGAAAATACCAACGGATGCCGTAGCTTGGAAACCCTGAGATCGTGTGTTGCGGGTGATAGATCACAGTACTTCTAAAACTTAGATGAGGGGATAAACTAGAATTAGATGGGGAAACTTGTTCCTGTACCTCGCCCTAGCGCAGTTGGATCCATGGCGCCGCAGCGACGTGGATGCCGGTGTCGTGGTGTAGTTGAACGCCGTGCAGTGGAGACGCGGTCTAGTGACGACGGCGAAGGCAGTGGGTCTTCCCGTCGCTGGCAGCACCGCTTCCTTTAGATTGGGTTAGAGTTTCTCTGTAAGCGGGTTACAACGGCTCAGGTCAACTTCGTACCGTGTGCCCCGGCCCCCACCTCCCTTTTATGGTGCTGTGCGATGGGGCCCCACCAACCATAGAGCGGTTGGGCGCCCTCAATCAGGACGCGGATCCAAGGACACAATTAGCCATTGGTGGAGATCAAACTAACATTCTCCCCCTCGATCTCACCTTATTTCTTAAATTTAACTTACTTACTTTATCTTGTTCCCATTCCATCACAGATCAGTGCATAGAGCGTGCCTCATCGTCACGGTCTGTTGCCATTAGATTAAACAGGTACAACGCACCTCTCTATTTTGAAACAGATACACAATTAGGCCCTTAGTATTCAGAAATCATAGACTTTTCCATAAACCCATGTCGATTGTGTGTTCTCTAAACGCACTGGGTGGTAAGTCTTTGGTAAGCGGATCCGCAAGTACTTACTCGGTACTTATGTGCTCAATGCTTTCAAAATGATTCTAGACTTTCTCCTTTACAATATATACCTTAGTGTCAATGTGTTTGGCAGCACACTTGACTTGTTGTCTTAGGAGTTAACTTACTTTAAATGGTTATTGTTGTTGTCTACCATTGTTAAATCCGGGTACAAATTCCCTTAATCTCCTTTTGCCTGTTCCTTAAGCCTCATGACAAGCTATACTATAATATGCATCACTGATGACATGACAACTGTTTCTTTGGAGCTTTTTTACAATAATATTCCAACTACGAGTGTTAGCAACTGCTGTGGATTTTACTACACATCTCGCCATGACTTAACATTTGTACCCTTAACTATTTGAGAGTGCTTATTCTTTCTTACTCAGCATGAGGCCTATGATACTTTGCAAAATTGCAAGACATTCTCAACTCAATTCCAGTGATCTATATCTGAACTGGACTTCTGCCAAAATATTCCGGATACATAAACTACGTCAGGGTAAGTTCTTGTACTTGTACACTCATCAAGCTTTCAGTAGCTGAAGCATATGAAACCATGTTCATTTGATCGATCTCATATCGGTTCCTAAAACACTTAAAGTTCCCAAATCTATTACCCTTGACTATAGGAGCAGGCGTAGGTTTACTCGCATGCATACTTTATTTCTCTAGAATCTTTTCTAAGTATGCCTTTGCGATAGTCTTAATACCCCATTTTCTTTTATCTCGGTGAATTTCGATTCCTAAAACCAATGAAGCTTCACCAAGATCATTCACATTGAAACTTGAGAACAAAACTTCTTCTCCAATGACAGATTAACATCACTACTAGTGAGTAGAATGTCATCTATTCACAGGATGTGGAAAATGAATGTTCTATTCTTGAACTTCGCATAAACGCTATTGTCCTTCTCATTTTCTTTAAAACCAAACTTTCTTATCATTTCATCAACTTCAAATACCACTGTCTAGAGACTTACTTTTAACCCATAAATGAATTTATACAGGTGGCATCCCATATGTTCTTTTCTTTCATGATAAAGCCTTTTGGGTTGTGCCATGTAAAAGTTTTTTCATATAAATCACCATTGAGGAATGCCGTCTTTACATCCATCTGATGTAACTCTAAATCGTCATGTGCCATTAACACTATTATGATTCTAAAAGAATCCTTACATAAGACTAGAGAGAAAACTCTCATTATAATCTATTCATTCTCTTTGCTTAAAGCATATTGCCACAAGTTGTGCTTTATATCTTTCTACATTCTCTTTGGAGTCATATTTTATCTTGTAGACCCATTAACAGCCTACTGTTTTGGCTTCATTAGGAATTACTTTTAAGTCCCAAACATCGTTGGTACTCATCGAATTCATTTTAACTTTATATCTTTCTACATTCCCTTTGGAGTCACATTTTGTCTTGTAAACTCATTAACAGCCTACTGTTTTGGCTCCATTGAGAATTACTTCTAAGTCCCAAACATCATTGGTATCACCTAATTCATTTCAACTTCTATAGCTTCTTGCCATTTAAACGAGTAAACGCTTCTCATGACTTCTTTAAACGAGATGGAATCACCCTTCATTTGAATTTCTTTACTAACATAGGCTTCATAGTCATTGGAAAAACTGGTTTACTAATTCTTTGAGACCTTCTGGGGCCTCATCTACTGACACTTTCATATGAGGCTATTGTTGCTCTTCATTGCCAAGAGACAATTGATTCTACAGGCTCCTGTATGACAAGATCCTTATTTACATTATTCATCTTCTTTGAAAAGCTAACAACAAGTGTTGTATAAGTCATACAACATCAACAGGTATTGAGAGATTTGTTGTTTTTGAATCACTAAAGTGGGCATGCAGTCCCGCTTCTCTTCAAGTCTTAGGTCTCTACATACCTTTACATACCATGCTTCCCCAGATCTTTTCATCTTTTCTAAAGATAGTGTATCTTCATTAATTCATTAAATTCTCATATGGCACTTTAAGCACCACCTTAACATCTTTGAGACTGACTGTCGAAACTTTTAAAAGGTCCAGGAATTTAGCTATCTCTCTGCTTAGGGGTATCGTTGTTATAACCGTTATACTCCTCCAACGGTCTTTATCTCACTCTTAATGAAAAGTATCTTCTTAATTGATCTTAATATTCTCTCCCTCGAAATATGGTATGAACTTTACTGCCATAATTTCGATAACTATTCAGAAAACCTATAAACAAGAAGACGCTTATAACTTACTTCATTCATATGGTTGTCATGTAAATAAAGTTATTTTTTGATCCGTTTGGGAGTACACTTTCCTTAATTCACTTCAAGAACTCAACGAAATCTTTTATTAGCAGTACTTCTGCAAGTTACACTTGCATCTTTTCTTATCCTTTGGTTAGTATTGACCATGACGATGCATTTCTATTGTGCCAAGGTCAATACTAGGACAGCATAAGAGCTACCCAAACTTCTCTCGTTATGCGAAATACAAAAACATATGAATCATCATAAAACTTCTTCCGTCATGCAGAATTGACTAGCATAAGTACTATGCCAAAACTTCTTCACATGTGGGATACATCTATACGAAAACTTAGTCATGACGACTAAAACATTCACTTATACTTCATTTTCTAATTAAATCTTGCCGTTGGTTTTAATTTAATCAGAAAATTAATAAACTAACAAAAAATATCCTGAACTAGCTTGACTCAAGCCTTTCCATTCACATACCCCAGCATTACAGCCCTTTGGCATGCAGCCGAGTGATCTTATCGGTTAAAAATAAAACATACAATATGATTCTACATCAATTCTACATCACCGTTGGGTAGAAAATAGAATTAATACATAAAATTCATAAAGTAACTTGAAATCCTAAGAGGCTAACAATTGTTGGTGTGAAATTTATCAGAGACTTAAGACTCAAACTTGAACTTATTATAATATTATAATATTGTCATCATCAACGTTGGTCAGAAAATGACAATACCATAATCTGACTTAAACAAAACGGACTACTTCTCTAATTAAATTTTCCCGTTGGTTTCAATTAAATTAGAGAATAAACATGATCATAATTTACTAAATATAACTGTTCTTCAAACTAAATTTTTCCGTTGGTTCGAATTTAATTAGAAGATAATCAACTTTAAACTTTGCAGCGGAAACTTAAACGTAATTTGTGAATTTTTACCCACAGAAAAAATTCTTTTGCTAATTTTCTTGAGCCATTAATCATTTTTCAGGAAATAAACATTTACTGGAAAAAGAAAAAACAAAAAACTGATCCAATTCTTTCTCAGGCGCTCAGGCCATTGAAGAAGAAAAAAGCCCGCTTTCGCTCTGCTTCTTGCTTGGCATTTGTGCCTCCTGTGCCACAACTCAGGCTGGGCAAGCAAAAACCACGCACATTTGCTGCCTCCGCTTAGGCCGAAGTCAACCTGTTAGTTTGCGCCCGTCCGATCTAGATCGATGGTCACGCGGTCTTCTCAGCGGATCAAAAACGCGACGCGGCGGCCAGCACCCGAAACCCTAACTCATTCTCATCCCCTGCCTCTCTCTCTTCGCTCGCGACGACCGGTTCTTTGCTCTCTCTACTTTCTCTCTCTAAAAAAACTCGGCGGTCGGAGATGGTGGCGCCACCGTGGGGCCCCTCGTCGGTGAGCGTGCTCGCCCGAGGCAGAGCGCGTCGCCGTCGAGCGGCCTTGCACCATTGCACTTGACCCCACGCGACCCCGCTCCCCTAACCCTAAGAGAAGGCAGAGAGGTGGTGGCGCCGTCGCCGGCCCCCTCACCAGCGCGCGCTCCCCTTGCGGGTGAGCGCTCCGCCATCGAGCAGCCTAGCCGCGGCGCCCTTGGCCAGAGCTCGCGCAAGCCCTTCGAGCAACAGCGGCTCGGCCTTCTTCTCACGCGCTGACGAAGCAACAGCGCGGTGCAACGGCGAGGGTAGGTCGTCTCCCAAGCCATTCCCCTTTCCCCTTCTTCTGTTTGATTGGATCTTGCTCTATTCTTCTCGGATCTTGTCCGATTGGGGTTTAGGGTTAGGGTTAGGGTTCGGTTCAACCCTTATGCCACTATTCATCTTCCCCGATTGCTTTTCGCGAGTTAGGGTTAGGGTTCGTGTCTGGGTCGATCCGAATCGGGCCGAATCGAGCCATTTTCCTTCTGTTGTTGTTCCCCTTCTAGAGTTAGGGTTAGGAACCCTCTGCTTTGATCCGAATTGGATCTCTCTCATCTACTTCTAAACTGCTACTACCCCGATCTAGATCTACTCACTAGAAAAACAATGCTCTGGTACCATTGATAGATTAATTGTAGCTCTAAAACGTAGATCAGGGT